ATGATTGTGGATAATTAATTAAGAGTCAAAACAGCATGACAAAAAACAAAAAAAAACAAAGTCTTGACAAAAAGTCTGGGTGATGTAGTGAGTAACATACGAGTGGCCTTCCTCTCTCTCTCTCTCTCTCTCTCTCTCTCTCTTTACATCTTGGTCGTGTCTGGCACCGGCTCAGCATTCTCTGACCACAGTGTAAAAAGATTTACTCAGCTCGGGCTAATTATTAGGAAGATTAGCTGAAGAGTTATGACTAATAAATCTGTCTATGTTTCATTAACACGGTGTTTGGAAACATTTCATTTAGCTCATGCTCATTAAAGAGAGTGGTAATGAAAGGAGAGGAAAGGAAAAGGAAAGGAAAGGAAAGAAGTCGGGGAGAAGCGGCGAGGTCTGGAGCTCGGATGCCGTAATTGGTGTAATGTAGCAGAATATTTAACAACCTGGCTAAAAGGTCAAATGAGAGAGGATGGAAAGATAGAGAGCAAGGTAGCAGAGGAGCATGTCATCTGTATCATTAAGTGAAGTGTATCTTTATATTTGCCAACAGATCAGTGTGAAACTAATTCCCCTAATGATGTTACCACACCGACACAACTTGATTAGGTCATGATCGTAACATGTGCGCTTGTGTGTGTGTGTGTGTGGATCCAACAAATCTATTCGAATGCACGATAAACTTTAAAACCGCAACCAAAAAAAAAAAACGTTTTGAATTTGTCTGATGTTTATAGGACATTTGATCAATCCCACTGCAACATCTGCTCATTTGCATAAAGCTTGTGTGAAATAGTTTTGCACCTGCGGCAACTGGCTGCTATTATTGCACTGTTTGTAAGCTACTTTCTAGGCATTCTGCAGACAAAGCTGTATTCAGCTACACCCTACAGCTTAGCTGCATTAATTGAAAGCACCAGCATCCAAGCAACACATACAAATGTGTCTAATGACATTACACACACATCATCATCATCGTTGCATCTATGCACACACACCGGCCTGTTTTGTTTCAGATGGGTATACACAGAATCTCCTGGCTGCCAAATTATTATCAGTGCTATTATAAAGCAAACAGACCAACACCACCCACAGAGAAAGGAATGCATTGACTGATTTCTACCTCCAAACTCACCATAAGTGCCATTTGGCCAACATGGGTCTATTATTTGTGCCTTTGTTCCTTTTTTTTCTATTTCCTGTTTTTGTTATTTTGTTGTTCAAAACCAAGCATTGGATCTTAAAAAACCCTCACCAACTTTTCTTATTTCTAGTCTTTTGGGTTTTTAATTTCAATTTCTCACATCTCCTTTGAAATCCAAACAAGCAGGCACACACGCAAACATTTTTCAGCGGGTTTTACACTCAATTAGTGTTCTTCGGTTTCTCACATAGCCTCTTTCTCTCGCTCTACCCTCTTCTCTCTAAACAGCATGTTTTCATAAGCGTGTGCTCTCCCCACTTTTTTTCCATCCTTCCTCGCGTCTTTTGTGTCATTAAGTTTTTAAGAATAACCCTGGGCTGCACAACAGATGCTGGGGAGGTAATAGAGCTTGCGCGCACTAACACGCACATCAACAGGACATGCTATTGTGTTAAAAAGGTAGAGCTGTTACCGCTCTCAATTAGGGAGACTGAGAAGTCTTTCTGCTAGAATCAGGCACGTTATGACATCTTACTTTCCTTGTGTGGCTTTCTCTCTCTTGGCTCTGTTTTTCTCCGAACCTAGGCTCAGAGGAACCGCCTCTGGAAGCTTTTTTCTTCTTTTTTGTCGTGGATGAAAACTGAACCACCCTGCAAGATGGTGATCAATAGATTTCTGTTTGATCTTACCTCTGTGCAAGAAAAAAAAAAAAAGTCTGTTTGTACATAACTACATTTAGAATACATGTAACTACATTTAGAATACATATTTTGCACTAAGTATTCGATTGATCACTTATTATTATTTTAAGATTTCAGACATTTTCTTGAACAGATTGCGGTCCTTGACTCCCTGCTGAATAACACCAGCTCCAACAACAGATGTACTGCATAAAGGCAGACTTTGAGGCTCATAGCAGATGAGACGGCTTAAAAACAAAACAAAAAACAGGCATCATATAGATGGAACAACTTCATGCTGACTTCTCACCAAAACTCCCACATTAAAAACATGAACATAGAAAAACACATGGGAATCTGGCGTACAACCAAAGCCTGCAGCTATTCAGAAAAGAAGATGGTTGTAAGGCTGGAGAATCATTAGACTGCAGACAAAACCGAGGAACACACGCACATACACACACTGATGCTGGGGGGCAGAACCTGTAACGTGTTTAACAAGGAGAGAGAGAAAGTGAGGACCGACGGGGAGAACGCTTTTTGAGTGAAAGGCCATCTGCTGAATCCATGGCCATGCCAGTCGCTTGCTAGCTTCCCATTGCTTGCACCTGCCAGCCTGCCAAAGCACCCTCAGGAGGACAAAAGCACCAACTTCACACGCAAACACTCGCTTGCGCGCATATACTCGCAGAGCAATAATGGCACGCACACAGCAATAACTGGTGTGATTTGTCAGCGCCGTGCTGCGTCTGAGGAGCTTTCGACATTTTTTCATGTTTTCCCTCCTGCGGTAACAATAGCATAACAGCACTTTATTAAACGAGAACAGGACAGAACAGAATGGCCTGCAAATCAGCCCGTTTATGAGGCATAGCTGTTCAGTACCCTGCCAGCAAAGGCTGAAGGGAGTGTGTATGTGCCTGTGTGGGTATGTGTGTGAGTGAGAAAGACTGTATGGGCATAGTTATTTTATAGTTCAGTGATAAAAAAAAAACTTCAATCATGGCCAGGATTGTGGATTCAATAGGTGAACTAGGTGTACAACAAGAACAAAAAGCCTCTCTAGCACTTCTCTCCAGTCTAGTGATTATTGGGGAAATGATTTAAACACCTGGCATTTAGGGAGAAAAAGGGCCTTGCAAATGTCTGGTGGGAAATCATTTCAACCCCGGCTGACTCTCAGTGTCAATTTCAATCCAAATTTAATCATTGTCCACACTGAACGGGTCTCAGCAAATACATCAGATTCTCGATACATTATGGAGAGATTTCATCCAAATGTAAATTTCAAGAAACTTAACAGGAAATGAAAGGCGGAGAGCCGAAGAGGGGGCAAGATGAAGAGAAAAGCAGAAGCAGATAGAGTGCTGAACGGAGTGAGATGAGAGCAGGAGTAAAAGAGAAACTGACAGATAAGACGGAAGGTTTAAGAGATGAAAAAGAGGGACCTATGGACGACAAGAGAGAAGAGAGACCAATCCATATTTTTAGATTTTTCCCAAAAAAGTATGACACTCCTATTGCAATCGCCCACCCATCTCTCATACCCTTCCTCCTCCTCCTCCTCCTCCTCCTCCTCCTCTTCTCTCAAACACACTTGTAATCTATCTTTTCATCTCCTACTTCTTGTACCTTTCCCTTCTTCCCGTTGTTGCCGCTGGCTCTCCTCCTCCCTCCATCAATCACCTTTTCTCTCCATCTCTCTCAAGCCTCCTCCTCCTCTTTGTCTCTCTATCACACCATCTCAAAATGTAGCTCTCTAGTGGGGCAAACATATTTCAGATGTATTTCCTCCCCCCGCCTTGCTGCAGTCTGTCATTCCCACTGCCTATCTCCTGTAATACCATCTCATTTTATCCTCCACTTGTGTTTCTCCTTTAGCTCTCTTCTGTCCATCCCGACACACACACACCACACCGAGCCTCCTCCCCTCTCTCTCTCTCTCTCTCCACTCTCTCTCCCGTGCTCCCTTGTCTCTCTAGTAGTGTAGCTTTGAATCCTCACCTCATTCCCCATTACAAACAAGGTAAACACTTCTACCTAAGCGCACCTCCAACACACACACACCACACACACACAACACACCACACACACACACACTTTGACAGATGTACAGATGTTGTTTAATGGAAAGCAGTAATCAACCCTACTTCCTCCCAGGTGTCCCCACCTCTAAATGGAAGAAGGATAGATAGAGACAGAGTGAGAGAGAGAAAGGGAGAGAGGGCGAGAGAGACCTGAAATTGATGGCAGTGCATCGACCCCTCTGTAAAACCTAGTTAACACCTCCCTAGCCTGTGAAACCTGATTAGTTGAGTGTGTGTTTGTGTCATCGTGTGTTCATAGCAAGCTATGTTTAACAGGTTGTTTTGCTTCTTACAGTCACAACCTCATAATTCCCCTCTGATTAAATTTTTTTTTGATGTGCTCCCATTCAGTGTGCGTGTATGTGTGTGTGTGTAAGTGTACGCGTGTGTAAGTGTGTGTGGCATGCAGGACAGTCTCCACTGATTACGTTCCTCCTAGTCAATAGTGAATAGAGCACTCAGCCTGATAAGCAATCACCTGAATCAATACTAATGTTTTTAGTGAGTGTACGTTAGTGTGTGCATGTTTGAGTGTGTGTGTGTGTGTGTGTAGTTCTTAACATGTGGCTAATCTAGTCGGAGTTCATAGAGGATAAACATTTAGTTACAGGCACGGTAAATCAGAGATGCCTGTCATCCCTTTCTCTCCTCTCCTCTCCTTTCTTGCCGTTGTCCCTTTCTTCTTCACCCAAAGAGCCCTCTCCTAACTCTGATCCTTTCATCTTCTCGCCTCTCACCAATCGGCATTCTTTTATTTTCCTTTCTCTCTCTCATCTCTGTCTCCTCTTTGGCCTTCTTTGAGACAGAGCATTAACAGCAGCCTAACCTTCAAAGACGGTGATCATAGAGAGTCCATGCTCTCCACATACAGAACAACCGAGCCTTTAGTAAGGCTTTGGCAGCAGTATAAATGTCAAAGATGGAAGCCTTACTTTGGCACACCCACATGCAATCCCCCAGAAAGAGGCACAGAGATATGAAGTGTGACCAAGAGGCAGATTCTGCTCATTTTTGCATGGGTGTGTTAACCGTTGTGTGTGTACAGCTCACACTGATCATGTGTAGAGGACCTTAGTGTCTCTTCTTTTACCCTACCTTCCGCTGACAACGAAGCAAGTCACCAGGAAGATGAGGAGAACTATTCCCCCAGCGATGGACACAGCCAGAATGGTGGACTGGTTAGGGTCCCCGATAGCAAAAACATCTATATAAGAGACAAAGGGAACACAGTGGATTAATAAACAAAAGCATAAAGGAGCATGGAAAGAAGCTGGGGGGGGGGGGGGTGTTGTTCTGCGGGAGGGAAGCAAGGGGAGGAGGAGGAGCAAGGCTAGAAGTAAAAAAAGACAGCAAGGTGAGTGTGGCGGGTGGAAAGAGGGAAGAGAGAATGAAATATGATAGCAATAGAAAAGGAGATAAAAGGCAGAGGTTGAAAGAGAGGGAGAAAGGGAGCGCGGCAAACTAGTAAAAGAGAGCGAGGGAGGTGGATGGAATAGTAAGTAAGGTCCTTGATGAAAAGCGCTCTCCCTCTCTGCATCGCCTATGAGGGTATGAGAGTGGACGTGAAAGCTATTCCCATTCGGCCACGCTGTCCAAATGGATATGTTAACATTGCACATAACAAGGCTACCACCGAGAACGTTCTACAAAGATGCATCGATTTTTACGCCACACCAATCGAGCCATTACTCAAAACAAATACCCCATTTATCTGGCTTAGCTAAGCATGAGCGGACACGCATGTGTGTGTGTGTGTTGAATAGGCAAATTAATGCCCCTAGGCAGGCACAGATAAGCATTGATCTCCTATTACATTTACTGGTGCACAAATACACACCCTTTTTTAACAATCAATAGAATTGATCTGATTAGATAACCTCGATATGATTGCTACGGGGTCAGCTGAATCTGAACATGAACTTGCTGTATGAAGGCTCAGTAGCAGCTCTACATAGCAGTAATAGCCATCCTGTGTCCTGAGCTCTTCAAGCTGAAGGCACAGTTACAATCTTTTTTGTTGCAGGACAGGATTAGAAACCCAGCTTTGAATTACTTTTTATTGATTATTGAATGATTAGTAGGCTAATGTGTGCCTGTTGCATGCTACAAAGACAATCTATAGCGCAGTGCTATACATTAACTGATTTATCCCCCTCTGCCTGCCTGTCTGGGAATCAATGTTCACTTTGAAGAGCACATTATGGGACCTCTAAAGCAGAAAATCCTGGAGCACATAATGAAGCGATAATGAAAGTGGATGACAGCAAACAAAGGAGAAAAGGACAAGTGACAGGGAGCTTGAAAGTACCATGAGAGAGATACAGCATAGTACCCCCAGAGCTGTTTGTGAGGCCCCGCTGGCCTGGATCAAACCCAGCATAGATTTCTCTTTTGTGTGTCGACCTCTTCTTTCCCAAAGTCCCAAAGAATGGAATACATTTCTAAATGTAAGTGCTCAATCTTTTAAGCAAAAAAGAAAAACAAATCCTACTTTAAACAGACCACTGGTAGCGAGAATAAAGCCTAAAAATAGCAGTCATCCAGGTAGTAAGATGTCAGAATACCAGAATACCTGAGAATGCTCTGTGTTTTCCTTCTCTCTTTTGAAGTTATGCTTGTTATCAGGATCTTCTTCTACCCTTTATATTTTTCTTCAGTGGTTTGTGTGAATCAAAACTTCACAATCTAGGATTGCAAGTTAGCAGATTATTTTTCCGTCATTGTGAAATTGGGTTGTCTCCTTTTTGCCTGATATGTATTCTAGGGTACTTTCAAGTCACTGGTTCAGATACGTACTGTAGATGACAACCTGTGAGGTTGCTGAGGTTTTTCTGTCTGACAACAGAACTGAAGAACCCATTCTGATGAAAAGTGAGCTATTTAATAACCATCCGGTGGATCGATTTAAGGAGGGATGAATCAGACTCTTACTATACAGTGATATAATATGCCAGCACTCTTTGCTCTGTAGTTAATCTTTGTGCTTCTTGTTCACTTGCACCATTCACCTCTAATTTGGATTGCTTTTAACTGGCATGTCACTATTTTCAGTGCAGCCACTGCCTGCTATGCCAATGTTCAGCTGAAAACCGCAGGGAAATTTTAAAAAGAGGAAAATAAAGTGAAAAAATGGCAATCCAATTACACAGACTGAAAAGAAAAAATAATGGAAAACTCATTCATTACGAGTAAACAAATATTTATTATTCATCCTTTTACCTTCGTGGCTGGTTTCTAATTCAATCTCTCCACCGTAACTCCCATAGCCCCCGTCGGTTCGAGCCCTGACCCTGAACACATAGGTGGTCCCTGGTTTGAGCCCGTCCACTGTCATCATGTTGGAGCGAGTCTTCAAGACTGTGTAGTTCTGTTCCCGCTGATTCTGAAGTGGAGGAGAGAGAGGAGAGAAGATAATTTAACACTAGGTTCAGTGGATCATATTAAGTGTTAAAGTGATTGTGGGTAAAAAAAAAAAAGAGATTATAGATATACTCTAAAGGGTTATACAAAGAGCAATGGACTATGGTGTAGAGAGAGACAGAAAAAAAAACAGAAAAGTCTGAAAATAATAGAAACCTAAAATTGTTCAATTTAAATGTCTCCAGGGGCAACATACACCTCACTAAGTTTTCATTTGTTCATCACTGGACCATTTGGTCGCATTTATACATGAGCATCTGTCAAGTCCCAGATCTTATCCTCTTTACACTTGGGGGCAATATGTGGTTTCTCAAGTCCTGCTTCGCTTCGTTCCTCGACTACCTTGTAGTTGTGTGTGTGTGTGTGTGTGTATGCACTCACAAATATGTGTGTAGGAGGATGAATAAAGAATAAGTGTGTCTGTCAGTAAGCTGATTCCCTGCAGAGAGGCTGATACTACCTAATGGAAGACACTCTACAACACGGATTAACACTATTTTACTGCTAATGCCTGCCAACACACACACACACACACCCACACACACACACACACACACACACACACACAGGCTTAATTTCATCACCTTGGCCATGTTTTACGAGGTTTGTTCGACAGATGTGTGGTTAATTGGCTTGGTGTGAGCAGTAGGGGAGACGTGAGGGATATGGCAATGGAGATAGACTGATCAGAAGAAAGAGAAAGAGAGAGAGATGCTTGTGATGAACAAGTCATCACAGACGTGCCCTAAGGTTAAACCCATGTCCTACAAGCCTAGCCAACATGTAGATGAAGAGAACAAAAGAGAGGAAAGAAACATGTTGCCCTCCAGAAATTAGGCATTGGGCTTGAAGTAATTGTTTAAACGTTTATGAAATATGTTTATTTGTTTTCTTGCTGAAAGCCAAATGAGAAGATTGACCCCACTCTTATATTTGCATCCTGAATAGGAAGCTATAGCCAGCTGCCAGTTAGCTTAGCTTAGCACAGAGACTGAACACAGGGGGAAACAGCTTGCATGGCTATGTCCAAAGGTAACAAAATGTGCTTACCACAACCTCTATAGTTCACTAACTAACATTATATATATCCTTTGTTAATCTATGCAGAAACCAAAGTGCAAACACAACAATTTGTCATTTTACAAGGGGTTATGTGCTGGACTATTTCTTGGCTGGGACCAGTAACTACTTTCCTGGAGTCCCCGCTGGTTGCCTGGAAACTGGTTACAGTCAAGAAATAATCTGGAAATAACCCCTCATAAAACAGCAGATTGATGTTTTTACACACTGGATATAATGTGTTAATTTGTGAGCTTCAGAGATGCAGGTAGGTTTTTATCTTTGGACACTGCCAGGCTAGGTGTTTTCCCCTTATTCCCAGTCTTTGTGCTAAGGTAAGCTAATCAGCTTCATATTCAGACATGAGAGTGATATCCAATTTCTCATCTAACTCTTGGCAACAAAGTCAAACATTTTAAACTATTCCTTAAAAGTCGTTTCACACCTCCAGTTTGTAATACAGGCTTTCTGTTGAAAATATGACATAACAACTGAACTGATCTTCCCGTGAAAAACTGGTGGAGTGTCGCTTTAAAAATGAGTTTGTGTGTGTGTGTGTGTGTGCGTCTCTCTCACCTTCTCATAGTAGATGACCTCATACTCCACTATCGCGCCGTTGGGTCTCTCTGGACCCTGCCAGGCCAAAGTCACACTGTCCTTGCTCCGCCTCTCCTTCAACACCACGCTCACTGCAGCAAACAAAGAACAAGAGGAGAAAGCGTGTGGAACAAAGAGAGAGTAATGTTCAATGACATGTTTAAAAAAAAAAAAGAATGAAAAGAGGCAGATAGAATGGTCTGTGGGGGCGAGGAGAGAAATATCAGATGGATACCTACTGTGCTATAATGAGAAGACCCACATTTGAAGTGTGTGTCATGTAATTTTGCTAATGAGAGAGCTTACAAGGTGTTTTATACATGTGTGATCACAGCATTCTGCGCTGTGTGTACTGTATGTGTGACGTGTGTGTGTGTGTGTGTGTGTGTGTGTGTCGTGTGTGATCTGCTTGTGTTATTAATGTGCAAACCCAAAACTGCAACTTCCTACTTCCCACACTGGGGCACATGCTCAAGTGAGTTGAAAGTGTGTGTCTGTATAAATGTGTGTGTGTGTGTGTTTGTGACATACTGTAGTTGAGAGTAGCACATGTGACATGTGGGGATCTTAATGAGGTTAACGACCTCCTACACACCTTTCACCTTCCTCCTCCTGTCATTACACACACAACCATAGTACGAGGCCTATTAGTCATCACCACCTTGTCACACACGCTTCTTTTACAGAAATTTCCCACAGTCCCACGCAGTGAAAGATTCACACGTGATTATATATGTGGGGGCAGAGGTGAGGAGGTGTCATTTTGTGGTATCAGAGTGATGCAGCATGGCAGTAATTCTACAGTTGCCGTGCCAGAGTCTGATAGTATTTCAGAGAGCACTGTAATCAGGAGGCCATTTTGAAAAATACCTAATTGGCTATCCTACAAATTCCTAGTTCAGGCTGATGAATATATTCTTCCCCAGAGGATTTTGTTTTCTTATCATCCTTTAAAAGTGGATTCCTGCAGAATCCTCTTCTTCTCAAGTTTTTACTGCAGTTTAAATCCTAAATACTGTTAAAGACCCTTCTGTGTCTATAAATACTGCTGCTCTCACCTGTCTGTGATGTAGTGACATTGATGACTACTGTTCCTCTGGGTGTGGGACTTAAGTCTGACACGCCATTCTGGCTCTCAACAGTGAAGCTGTAGTTGGAATCTGGCTGCAGGTCGGTGACCAGCACGGTAGCTGACGATAGACCAAACTGTCTGGGAACAAAATGGACGCTGCCACCGCATGGCATGCACTTCCTGCCATCACCAGAACACTTCCTGCAGTGGAGGCTGTAGGTGATGTCTCCCCGGCCTCCCGTGTCTCTGGGTGGCGACCACTCTAAGGTGACGCAGGTCTCGTTCACCGTGGAGATGGGGTTCTCTGGAGCAGATGGAGGACCTGAGGGAAGATAGAGGCATAGATTTATTTTTGTGAACAAAAAGAGTCTTACCCAACCTACTGGGGAATGACTGGAAGTGAATGTGAGGAGTTTAAAGGTACCCTGTGGAGTGTTTATAGACAAACAAAGTATAGTATAGTTGCCTTTTCTCACCAAAGGCACTATGTGCATCTAGCTAACTTCAGCCAATCAGATCAACGAACCAGTAAGCGTGTCGGGAGAAAAGCAAATGAAGAAATACAGTTCTGATATACACCGATCAGCCATAACATGATGACCACTGACAGACTTTGATGTGTAAAATTGGAGCTACCCTTTAATGTATTTCCTTCCTTAAAAATAAATTGTAGTACTGTCTTTTAGATGAATTTGAAACCTACATTGTTACATCGATATACCTCCTGGCAGTCTTTCTAACCTTTGTTGGTACAATGCTAAATCTTAACACCACCGGATGTTGATCACTGGAATAGTGGTCTATCTGCAGAACTATGCACAAAACGGAGGACTAATTACCCACAGGGTGTCTTTAATGATGTAAAACAAAACAAATATTCATTTGAAAATTAACAATTCTATATATGGCCCATTGTTGAGCTACTATACCACCCCTTATCAGTGCCAGCTCATTATATACTGACTGATATATTTTTTTTCCCCAAATGTACATTCTCTTAACATGCATTGTCTTCATGTTCATTACCAAACTTATTGCAGTTTCTATTAAGAACAGAATTCACATTGATTAAATTAAAAATGGATGAACTGAGGGTGGACACTCGATTAATGAACAGCTATGGAATGGACAGTGATTAAAAGAGCTTGGCTAATTGTAAATGTGACGGTATAAGAATATGTTGCACTTCCAAAGTTTAAATCCATCTTTAAAGAGAATTCACCATGATGTTAAATAGCTGACACTCGACTGCAGGGAGGTTTTTTACCATGTGAAGTTAACTGATACTCTTTGGGGCTGCCCTGCACACAATAAATAGTGAGTGGACAATGATCTATAGAAAGTGCCTGGAGTAATTTTCTCATGAGTCAGGTACATTTTATGATTCAGATCAGTTAATATTACTCTGAACTTCAGCTGAATTATTACTGTAGAGTCCACACAGTATGTCAGTAATCTTTCTCAAGGAAGCAGAGGCATGGCAACACAAACGCTCTTTATTATACTTTTAGATGAAGGGAGTTCATGTTGATACATACATTCAAATGTCTAGAGTTAGTTTATGTGAATTGCATCTGGCTTACTGCTAATGCTGGAAAAACTGAGCTTATTTTAAACCCTGCAGACCCAACCCCCGTTACTTACACTTTGTGGTCAACCTGTGGAAATTGTCAACTGTTTTACGTATCTAGTAACACACATGGATGACAAATTGAGCTTCACTAACAATGTTGATTGTACAGTGAGAGACCGTTTTTTATTATGAAATTGAAGGGGCTGGTGTCATAACATTTGGAAAAAAGTGCATGTCAGCCTGAGAGAGAGTATTCATGTTTTTAATATCTCTGTCTGGTATGGACATTTAACACTAACAAACAAAAACATGCTGGCCAGGATTGTCAAAACAGCAGGAAAGATAGTAGGCCGCCAACAAAAGGCATTAGATGACCTTTACAGCACACCTCTACATAGGAAAGCTTTCTCCATCATTTGTGACTCTAAACACCCCCTCTGTACTGAGTTGCTCCCCTTGGGGCGACACTGCAGAGTACCCCTGGCGAACATAACATTTTTACCAAGTGCAACAAACTTCATGAGCAATCTGCATTAATCTGCACTCTTGTGCGCAGAAGGTATGCCATACACTGTCTGGATATTTAATTAATTGTTTTGGTGTGATGAGATTGGCCGTTACTGTATTGTGATGCGTTTGTTTTTTTTTAAATCTGGTGAGACCAATGGTAATTTTTAATAATTCTGCCTTGTCTCTTTTATGCAGATACTTGATTCTCAGCCTCTTAGTGAATTCATATATGTATTATTTCATTGTGCGTGTTCACAATGAAAGATTATGGACAAAATTAAATTTGACACTCCCTGTTGACTATCGTGTGTGTGTGTGTGTGTAAATGGATCAAAGAGGTATCAAAAAGCAGAGACAAGCCAGGCATAACAGAGCAAACAGCAGCTTAAGGGCATGCAAATTCATATTTTCTGTAACAAATTTGGGAATTATAACACATTTGTGTTTAAATTCAATGAAATCCTGTTCAGGGCCACAAAAACGCTTGTGACACCTCTTGCTTTACCACTGGCTCTGGTTTTATCAGATTTTTAATGTTGCTTTTTAAAGTAAGGTGCGAGAACGCGTAACTCCGGAGCAGTTTTTGCTTGGCAGGTTTAAACAAGATAAGCCGTCAGTCTTTTTCCAGCCCATGTCGTTAGGCAGTTCAAGCCAGCGCATGTTCACAGGTATAACTTTAATCTCGATGAAGGCTCATTTTGATGTTATTTTGTATCATCGTGCATACTCTTTCATCAAGATAGAGTTAGAATTCAAGAGAGCGTTTTTGTTTTGGGTGTTTGCCGAGTCTCTTTTCTGCTTTTTCCTTGAGAAGCGATTACTTGCAGCATTCAGGCTGTGTGGAGCTTCTATCACTACGTAGCACTATTCAGCTGATAGTTCAGAGTAATATTAACTGTATCCTGAATCTACTATGGAATAGGTCTGACTCATTAGAAAAGTGTATCTTCCTAGGCGATGCTTTCTATACGTAATTCGATTGTTCTCACTCATATTTAGTGTGGTTTTGTGGTGTCAGGTCTATGCGCCCCTAGATACGAGATTCTCAGTGTTTGAAATATCACACTGTAAGATAATACCTCCTCAATTGTCAGTCTATGCTGTGTTCAGCTTATTTTTATGTTACATCATATGTGATACTTCTCTTTAAAGGTATGATTGTAAATAGCCTTTGGATAATGTCAACATACTGCTTTCTATTATTGCGTCACATTTGACGAAGTGTCCCTGTGGTGTGTTGGGTTTGGGTTGGGCGTGCGGGGTGCTGGTGCTGGTTGGCGTTGCGCATCTGTGGTCCGGTGGGGTTTGTACGGTTTGGGGGCGGGTGGGGACGTGCTGGGTGTGGCTGCGGTGGAGGGTAACCGGGTGCGGTGGCGGGTTGAGGCGTCGCCAGTTTGTGATCCAAGCTTCTTGAGTCACGCTTGGGCGCTATCTCTTCGCAGTAAGCTTGTGATCTATTTAATCGGGAGGTCGTCCATCTCTCATGTTTCATTCCCATTTTCATTAAGTTTAATCAAGCTTGAAATCTTTCTAAATAGAAACACACTGTTATTATGAGCTTTTTTAATTCGATAGCACTTGGATAACAATGTCTATGTTTGACAGTAGAATTTTACTGCATCTGTGGAGCAAGGAATATATTATCTAGCGTCAGTAATGATATCGGGATGCTTTGTGAGTGAGTGCTGTGGCACGTTGATAAGGCGCGTAGTTAGGGCTTGGGCATTACAATTGCCTGTCATAGTCATAACTAATCTTATTGTTGTTGGTGGGTTGTGAGGAAGAGTGGTGATTTAAGTATGATTGAGATATGGTGTTTTGTGTTCCACGTTATTAGGCCGGTAGGGCAGTTGTGTTTCCCCCCTCATGTGCCAGCTTCATTATGATTGTATGTTACGATAACTTCGCTAGGTTATTATTGCTGATTGTTTTTTGATGATTTCTGTTTGACAGATATTATTATTTTGTTTTTCACCCAATATGTGTATCATGCAGTGCCTGTTTCACTACATTTGCATATGTGGTTTTCTTGCTACTTGTTCTGCTCGGGATTTTTTTGTCGTGATCTATTGCTTACCTGTTTTAGAGGAAGGCGCTATTTTCGTTTGTTATTGGCGTTAATTGCAGTTTTGCTACTTAAGAACGCTATTATGTCACTATTGATTAGACGAGTTAGAAAATTCATTGTATGCAACTTGATTTTGTTGTATTTCACTCGATTTGTGCAGCGAAAAATTTTGCGATTACAGCTATTCGGGCAATGCAGTTAGACTTAGAAAGGCTTTGGTTGCAGATTGGATTTATTAGAGTTGGTTTTAACGGTAATGTTGATTTGCTTGTGGGTGCATTTTTTATGTTGTCATTTTTTTGGTGTTGTGTGTTTGTTTTTGGTTCGGTGGGGTTGGGGTTTTTTTTTGCTGCTTTCTTTGGGTGTTGTTGCGGTAAAGGTGTGTGAATCGTTGTTGTCTTTGTTGGAGAGGTAGGTGCACTTTTTGGTTCTTGTCTGTCTCTTTTTTCAGTGATCTTTCGCAAGTTTATAATCCGATTTTCTATATGATGATAGTTTTTTCTATCTTTCAATGACTGTGTTTTGGTGTGGTTTTCTGAGTGGATCAGAATTCTTGATCTGTGGTACAATGTCGATATTTCTGCTGAGGGGAGTGTGTTTTGATGTACCATGCTGGATGTATGGTTTTAACTGAAGACTCTTTGGGCTGCTCCTGCGCATCATCATTAATTAGTGAAGTGCCACTAAGAGGGTGATTCTAGGAACGACAGTGTCCTGAGTAATTGTCTCATTGATGTCAGCTGTACTATATTTTTATTGATTTGTTCAGGATTTCTATTTGATACTTTCTTGGCTTGAACCTCAGCTAATTCTTTTGATTTTACTTGTAGATGTCCATCACAGTAGCACGCGTGTGGGTCAATAGGCGCTGTGCGCAATGGTGTTGAAGTCAGAAGGCAGTGGTGGCGATAGCTACAAACGCCTCTTATTAATTCTGTGTTATTCGCTAATCTGATCATGGTTTTTTATGAACGGGTAGTTTCATTGTTGATTGGAGGATCATACGATTCAAATGTCGAAGTTGGTTAGTTGTTTATTGTTGGTGTTTGTATTGTGGTCTTAGATGTCGGTGCGGTTACTGGTCTAATTTTGCTGGGATAAGTTATAGCTACGATAATTTTTAATATTGTGGGCGTGTGGTTGGTCATCCTTTTTTAGTGTTGGGGGTTTTGGCGTTGGCAGGGCTTCGTGTATTTGTTTTGCGCTGCTAGACCGTCACTGTTTGCGTCGGTAGCTGGTTCCTTTCTCGTTCTGTGTTTGCTTGGTTGGGTTATTGTGTTTGTGTCCTTCTTGGTGGTGGCGTTGTTTCCGTCTGTTATTCTGTTCTTTTCCTGTGTTTTGCATGTTATATCATTCGGTTTTAGCAGAGTCCTTCTCACGTTTGTTGTGGTGGGGGGCGTCTGTGTTGTCAACCGGTAGTTGGAATGTTGGGGAGATGGTTGGTCTAGAGCTGTATATCTTGATCTACTGTAAAGAAGAAGTGAGAGGTGGGCTGGCGCCTGTCGGTGTTGTGTTTGATGTTCCAAAAAAAAAAAACTAAAAATATAGCATAGGTTGGATGAGATGTTATTATAATTGAGCTGCTCCACAACAATGGTATGTGTGGTGGATTGTCACACGTCGAGAGACGTCTTTTTATTATGAAGATTGAAGGGGCTGGTGTCATACACATTTGGAAAAAGGCACTGCTCAGCCTGAGAGAGCAGTAATCATGTATTTACTAATTATCTCTGTCTCGTATGGACATTTAACCTAACGATAACAAAAAAACACGCTGCTGGCCAGGATTGTACAATAACAGCAGCGAAGGGATAGTAGGCCGCCAAACAAAAGGCATATAGGATGACCTCTTACAGCCACACCTCTAACATAGGAGAGCTTTCCCAGCAGCGATCATTTGTGACTCCTAAACACCCATGACGCCTCTGTACTGAGTTTGCCCCTTGCGGCGTGCGACACTGCAGAGTACCCCCTGGCAGGCGAACAGTACCAACGATTGTGTTACAAGTGCTAACAGAACCTCTCATGACAATCTCGCAATGCAGTTAATCTGAACGTCGTTGGTGCCGCAGCAAGGATCAATCCATACCAGCTGTCCTGGACTATTAATTAATTGTTTTGGTGTGATTGAGAATTGGCCTACTGTAATGGGTCACCCGTGATGCGCTTTGTTTTTTTTTGTGAAATCTGGTGGTGAGGGGACCAAGTGGAAGTTTTAATATATTTGGCCTTGTCCCTTTTTTATGCAGAAAGCCCTTGGAGGTTCTCGGGCCTCCTTAGTGAATTCGCCATATTGTACTTATTGCATTGTGCGTCCGTTCACAATGAAACATTATGGACCCAAGCATTAAATTTCGACACTCCTGCTTGGACTACGTCGTGTGTGTGTTTGATTGTGGGTTCGTGTGTCTCGTGGTGTGTGTCAGGTGTGTTGTAAATGGATCAATGACAGAACTCTAAGAAAGCAAGAGCAGGCACCACGCCGAGGGCACGTACCAACCAGAAGCAACAGGCAGCCTTAAAAGGGCAATGCAATCATCATTGCCCCATCTTTCTGTACCACGCGCCGAGGGAGACCAGAATTTGGGGATAGACATTATAGCACATCTTGTGTCTTAAAAGTTCCAAGCTGACCAATCCTGTTCAGCAGGCCCACAAAGATGAACTTCTGTGACATCTCTTGCTTACCACGTGAGAGCGGCCTGGTTCTGGTATCAGATTTTTGGCAATGTGTGCTTCCGTTTTGAAACGCGGCTTACCTGCTTTCAAGACTGACGATATCTATTCAACTACTGTGGGAGACAAGCTGAAATCTTGACGGCGAATCTGAATTTGGAGTAACAGATACATTAGTTTACC